CTTCTGCCTCACAGAGCAGCCCTCCACTGCAATTCCCCACTCAGCTCCTTCAAACTAGCCAGCAGCAATTAGCAAACATGTGGTGGAACTCAGCATCCGATCTCATTATAGGAGCTACTTCTCAGTGCAACGCTGATAAAAACATTGTTAAAGTAGAATAGCCATGTTGTGATGACTTCCAGACGGCTGAGTTTCAAGGTGTTAAATTATGAAGTTAAATTACTTTTAAGTTGTATTTGATATATAGTGATCTTATGACAACTGAGGGTAACATAGGTACTTTATTGTACTATAAAATGGCACTATGTGCCTGGAAAATACAAAATACTGCCCCTTTAAAGTGACACAAATCAATCTCTTGGTTTGGAGTGCAGAGCGTGACCTAATCAGTTGTTGATGCTACACCTGACTGTAATAAATAAGATGAAGAGGTTGCAAATTAGTACGGACCATGGATCTCATTCTGGAGGTTTTAACTGTAATCACTATGTCAGAACTTAAATGCCAAAAGTTTCTCAATCTCTCCTTGGGAGAGGAGAGATTGAAAAAGATTGTTTTTTTTTGTTTTGTTTTTTTTTGGTATTTTTCAGAAAAGCCATAAACCACCTCTAGTGAGTGTAAAAAACATTTTTGCAAAACTGAGGAAGTTATTTCAAATGCTACAGTTTAATATTTTAAAATGCATATAAAAAAAACATTGATGGAAACACTACTTAAGACAGTTTATCTCAACATGGGAATCATTACAAACTCTGAACCAAGCGGTGTACCTCATGGATGAAATCTCCTATATCTCCTGGTTGAGGGGCTGCAGAGCGGAGGGGGTACTGGTGGTCATGGCGGAGGGGCCTCTCGTCCAGACGTCTGATCCCCACTTTTACACACTCTGGCTCCAGGGCATCAGGTTGTTGCAGTTGGCTCAGGTCATAGTCCTAAATTTCCAATAAGAGTCGAAAATCCACAGGCTTACACAACACACTTTCCTATGCATCAACTGACTGCAAATTAGCCCTGTTTTAACATGTTTTCGGGAAAAAGCATTTTTAAGGTCCTAACATTTACTTTAATTATCTTTAATCCTAGTTTAGGGGGATATCTTAAAAACTAAACAGCAACACCAACATCTCAATTTAAGTACATAATCTGCTTACACTGAGAGCTTCATAGTCACAATCATTTTGTTGCGGTGTGGTATTAAATTATAACCCATATGCTGTCTCAGTTTTTTCCTGCTCCACCTCCCTCCTCATCATATTTGAGGATGTTGTACGTTCATCACCCCATTATCTGACAGGTCTGCAGTAGTATGGCTCTTTGTATGCCTTTTAAGCTAGTTGGGCTAACCAACAGTCACTGGCTGTCTCTCTCTGCACATTAGTGCCAAATAAGATGGGTTACTAAATATTTCAAATTGTTAAAATGCAGAGGTGGCCCAAGGCATGAAAGTACATCAACTTAGGCAGTAACAGATGAGAGGTTCTGAAAGTTTTCTTCACAAAGCAAAAGAAGACCAACGCAAAGTTATCCGAATTGAGGCTAGGCACCTAATTGGCCTGCTATGGTTTTATGTCTTTCACTCAGGTTTGAACAGTAATACATAATCTTTTAAAACAGAAAAATGTAGCCTTTTACTCAAGGTGGGAAAACAAGAACAGAGTTCTTCTAGCCAGGACATGGCATGCTACAAGAACTCAAATGCAGAATTCTAGGCAAGTCATCTTAGGTCTCTCCCTAAAACCAACAACAAACTATATGATAGTTGTTGGACACCACACAAGAAAAATGTTTTGCCCAGGATATGTGTCAAGAAGAAGCTGCAAGGAGTGGCGGTTCCTGATATGAGTGACATGCGCAACCGCCCAGGACGGCATCTAGTGAAGGGGCAGCATACACTTGCATTCTTTTATTTATTTTTCAAGATAAAAGAATGCAAGTCTATTAAAGTGAATAAAAGCGGAGAAAATGGGTTGTTTTCTTTGTCAGGTTACACGCGACTATAAATGCTGAGTAGTCACACTTTTAGAGGTTTGCAGTGAGACTGATGTCACATATGTCTGTGAAAAATTAAAAATGTGTGCTGCGTGCCTTTAGATCTCACACATGCTCACTTGATTTCTGGCACGTGCGCTTGTAAATGAACCACACCACCAGTCACATACAAGTTCTGTCTTTGTTATTCCTTGCAAATATTGCATTTGCTTGGTTAAAACATGTTTCTCAGTAGAAGAGATTTATGGCTGAATCTATTACTATTATTGAGGGATGGCATATTTTACATTGGAGTGCCCTTTCCACTCTGTCCTCACCCTGAAGGAGCTGTTTGTGGATGAAGTACGATGTCAGTGCATACCAATTTGTTGTGTGTGCGAGGGTTAGTGCTTCCCCAGCAGGAACATAAAGCGGCTTATGTGAGAAGTTGTTTGGAAAGACAGACGAAATTGTTCTTCAACAGAGAGCAATTAATCCTATTTCAAGATCCCCCTTTGTATTACTCTTAATCTTTGCTTTGGAGGAAAGACTGCAAACTGTAGAGAGGCATGGTGTTTGTGTCAGCTGTAGAGCTTTCTGTTGTGTCTCTTTGTTTGAAAGAGAATATTTGATTTTAGGGAAAGATAAAGTGGCATTTTAACCAGGATTATTAAGTAAAGTAATTTATTTTTGTGGACAATGTGTTTGTATGTGAGAGAGACATGCTTGTGTTTACCTGATCCTCTTCTCCACCTCCCTCCTCATCATATTTGAGGATGTTGTCTCGGACATCGTCCTCTGGGTCGATCAGAAGTTGCTTGGCCTGACGCTCTTTATCCCTCCTCTTCATCCACATCACAAAGAGGAGTACCAGCACTGCAAGGCAAGAAGGATGAGGAAACTATTAAATGTAAGAAACAAATCAATCTTCAGTGAACATCTTTGGCCGTACGGCAGGGTGCTGCTGTGCAATCTAAAAATATTAAACGTCCTCAGAAACCTAGTAGAGAGAAAGAGAACAACAGATAGCAGGAGACTATTTTCACTTTAAGAATCTAATCCATAATAAATCAGCTTGAAGTCTTAATGTTCTGCTAAAATTACTTTGGAATCAGTGTTTTATAAAACAAAAAAGCTCTGTATGTTTGCCCTAGTATTTACATGTATTTTTATATAAGCATTTAACATTTGGTAAAATAAAAAATGTAAAAATCTAACAGACTGCAGCAACTGTTCCTGAGCACTAACTTGTTTCAATTTATATCTGGCCTGAACAACAACTGGAAATCAGGAAGATCTGAATTAGTTGTGAATAACAATTCAAATCCAAATTATTGGCTTAAATACACATTTTCAATGTGATTATTTTTGTAGGAATGGTTTACATAATGTACAGAATAAATAATATATATATGGATTAATATGGTTGTTTAATTTTCAAGTCTAAGTGGAATCCAGTTATTTTGTTCAACAATTTAATTCCATTCAATTTAATTTATTTAGTGGCAATTCACAATCCATGTAATCAATCTGTTCTAATCATGTTCCATATGATTATCAAACAATGTAGTCAAGTTTAGTGTTCTCCTCCAATCTGTTACAAAATGTTTCCTGTTCAAGGAAACTCAACAGATTGGATTGAAGTGAAGAATTGCATTCTCCTGGATGAACATGCATGCATTGTGTTGTTGACAGATTTGATACAGTTTTTCTTCTTTAGGACAGCAAATTTCAAAATATATGAAACTCTCATGAAATAATGTAGCATCCCATGACACCACCCATGCATCCTCCTCTCACAAAATTGAACTAGGAGGCACTGACTCCATAAGTATGTTGTTACTGTTTCATCCAGCCAAACTTCCGCTGGAAACATAACATCAAGCCTATGTTCAATAATGAAGTCATGATTAAAAATGACAAAGATGTAATGTTTAATAAAGCCAATTTAAATGATTTAGTCTGCAATCATTTACATCAAGGGTGTCCAGGATGTAGACAAAGAAATGCACAAACTTGGTTTCCAGCTCAAGATTGGAGTTTTAAAACTTTTATAAAAGAAAACTACGGTACTTTACAAAGAATTTTTCACTGCCTTTCAAAAAAGACAAATACAATTACAAATCTTTTGAAAGTAAAGCAGAAGTAAGTACAGAAAGTAATAAAGTAAAACACTCTTTTTATTACCTTTTATCAACCTTTTTTATAGTCAGTTCATAGTATTTCAAACATCCAGTGATTTTTACTCAAGAACAAACTTTGGTGGACCCATTTGGTAGACTAAAGTAATATTAAGTAATAAGTATTTCGGAAGAATGAGTGACCCGTTCTTTTATCCCTCTCCTTCTTGCTGAGAATAGAATACACACACGGAAAAATCCAGACAAAGATAGAAGATGACAATCAGCATTTAGAACTGTGCAAATTTATGTCCCAGAAGTACAATGATTTGCAGCTATATTTTCAACAGAAATCCATCCATCCATCCATTTTCTGTACACCCTTGTCCCTTAGGGGTCAGGAGGGTTGCTGGTGCCTATCTCCAGCCAACGTTCCAGGCGAGAGGCAGGGTACACCCTGCACAGGTCGCCAGTCTGTCGCAGGGCATTTCAAAAATCGGACTTCCTTATTTTATTAGAGTATTGTGCTGTGCTTATCCGAATTACAATGATTGACAGTTATGGCAGTCAAGGTGAAAGGAAAATGTTTTGCAAAGAAAATAAAAATATAGTAGAAAAAATATTTACATTTTATGGCCCACAATTACTTTCATCTTGAAGGTTTTGGGTCACGTGGCATTAAGTTTGGTTTATATCTGGTTTACATCGTCTACGTGGTCTATTTTCATTGAATAGATTTGGTTCCATTTATGACAGGCTTACACAGCCTGTCATAAATGATGGAATCCTACTTTTACAGGATGCTCAGACCATGAAATTATTTTATGAGAAAAAAAAAATCAACTAAGTTAGCATATGAATGCCCAATCTGAATAGAACACCTTTCTAAAAATGAAGTGACATTAGTTCAGTAAATCGGTTTTGCATCATATCAGTGAAAGTAAAACAATTGTTATAGAAGTGATTTAATAATCTTGACCAGTCAGGGGGCAAGATTATCAAATTTTGACCCCTGACTTTCAATGTGCTTGAAAGAGACACTCACCTAATAGTATGATGATACAGATGAGGATGGAGATAATAGCTCCAGTGCCCAATCCAGCAGCAATCATTTTCTCCATGTCCACACAGTCTCCATGGCGATCACAGGGACAGACCTTAACCCTCAGGAAGGATGTGTTAGACATGGGCAGGTTGCCAGAGTCTGTGATCACAATGGGGAGCTCATAGATGCCACTGGCAAGAAAACCGATCCGCAGGTGAAGCTGGGCGGACTCGCCTAGAATATGAGATTATAGGAGATAAGGAGGAAAAATAAACAAAACAGAATGACTTTTCCACTGAGATGCCACCAGTGCCTGTAGTGATGACAGCTATTCAGCAAATGGGATTATTTGCTTTACAGAAGTGGGAGCACTGTGGCTACTCCATCTGAGACCTCGTGTCCGCATGAAAGCTCTGCTTCAAAACGCTTCAGAAAAGTAAAAACAGTTCCTTAACTGCAACATTTCTTCTCTAATATTTCTGAGTTGCTCTGAATTGCTGGAATACAGATGACATAGTAGTGACGTTACGTAATGCAGATAAGAGTCAGGAAGTAAATGCAGCTCATTGACTTCTGTTGATCCAGCTTCAAAATGCCTAAAGTCTGAGACGTGTTCGGTTGTTCCAACTGTTCTAATAGAGAGAAAGATACATATTATTTTCATGTTCCGTCATCTGGGTTGCATGTCTGCAACCCAGCACGTGACCCCTGTCTGCAACCTAGACACTAGTTGCTGCAATTGCTGGCAATTGCTGGGGAGCAGCATCATTTGAGGATATAATTTAGACAGTGCGATCCTTACCTGTTAGAAAGTGGTGCTTAAAACTCTGGTATTGTTAGTTTCCACACCTGTGATTTTAGCTGTAGATTGTTGGTCCACTTTTCTCGTCTTTTTTTGGTAAGTTTTTTAAAATTAACTCCCTTGTGACCAATTACCTTCGGAACATGAAAATAATGTTTATCTTTCTTAAGACAAACATCTTGGATATTTAACTCAAACCAGAATTTGAGTTAAATATCCAAAAGAAAACTGTTCTCTCTACTAGAATGGTTGGAATAACCGTACACGACACAGACTTTAGGCATTTTGAAGCTGGATGGAAGTAAATGGGCTGCATTTACTTCCTGACCCCCATCTGCACTGTGTGATATCGGTACTACGTCATATGCAACCCAGCAATAGTTGGTTGTTTACTTTGCAATTTCTACATTATTAAATCACGACAGTCCAACTGCCCTTCCTAAAACATTTCTTAGCATAATTCAGGTAAACTCTGCAATTTTTTTAATTTTTTTATCTCAGCCATCTCAGTCTGACATACATAACAAAAAAGCTGATAATTTAATGTCTTATATACCTATTTTAGATAGAACCTATCTTACTTTTCATACAGGGATCAGAAATGTAAATAGAAATAAATATCCCCCATCTATCCATTCATTGTCTTACACCCTGCCTATCTCCAGTTATAAACGGGCGAGAGGTGGGGTACACCCTTGACAGGTTAAATAAATATCAATATAATATAAATAATTACCTTTACAGTTAGGTAGTATTCCCTTTACACTCTGTGATGTAATATTTGTAATATAGGGGGCAACCATCCAAAAACATCTCACAAAAATTTGCTGGAATTGTGACCTATTCCTACTGACAGACCTAATGTAACTGAGTCATGTTACACCGCAAACTGTAATCTGTTGTTTGCTGTTAGCTTTGAAGTAATCAGATAAAATAATCAACATTTCCACTTTTGCTGCTAATTTGTTGATTACATTACACATATGAGCTCAAAAACAAAGATATTTCAGGGTTTCCCCCAGAAAACATTCTAAGCCCGGAGGTGGGGACACGGAGGCGGTCCACTGTGTTTTTGTATCAAAAGATGTTAAAGTAGCCAGGAAAAGTAAAAATATTACTGGATTATATGTTACATCGTCAGTGAAATGCTATTTAAAACCCACAACGAGTCTTAAAAACAATAAATCAAAAAAACACAATTAAAATGAAAATCAATTATTTGCATTTCTGTTTAATCCAAATTAAGTCAGCAGCTCCATATGGTTCCCCAGGGCATCAGGGGCTCCATAAATGCTAATATTTTATCACAGACCACAGATACATAAATGTAACATTTGTTTATTGAGATGATCAATGCTGCTAAATTTGATTTAAAATTTAAAAGATTTTAAATTGTTTAACATTTATATGTAAGATTTTCAGGATCTGGTAAGTTTACTTTGTAAAAGTTCAAAGAACAATATTAATTTGTTTTGTTACCGTAGCAACAATCTGATGCTATGAGTTTAATCTTTGAGTTTGAGCTCTATTTGTTCACAAATACAAATTAGTAAACTGCGATTATAACTTATTGCTTTTTAGGTTGGCCATTTAAATTACTTCCCCTTTCCCAGATTTTGCTCAAACTACGAAGCTGGTGCTGATGTTTTTAGCAACAAAAGGGGCCCCCAAGTCAAATTCTGCTCAAGGCTTCATACAGCCTTTCACCGGCCCTGCATGATGAGTTAAATCCGCTGCACTACGCAGAGATGCACAACAAACCAGAGATTTAATTAAATGCCGATAATGTGACTTTAGTAGCTCTTCCATTTTGTGTCTGTTGAGTTTTTAATAAGGGCCACAGAAACTGTTGCTCGAGTTTATGGGATGAGTTTCTCAGATCTCCGCGCAGCCGCGCACATTAACTCTGTCTAAGTGGACAAAGCATTTGATATGGTTTGATGCATCGTGTAACCAGAAAAATAACATAAAAATAATAAAATAATATAAAAACAGCGTGAAGCGTGACTGCGAGGCGAGTGCAAAAGCTCCTCACCAGGCAGAAAATGCATGATGAGTGATTAGCTCTGGTTCCTTAATCACTAATGCACCGGCCAACCGGGACCACATACATAAACTTGGTCAGTTTATGTATGTGGAAAGATGAATGGATAGAACAGAACTTTACACCATGTGATGGTGGAAGAACCTGAAGAACAGATTAAAAATAATAAATACAGGGTTTCCGGCGGATTAAGTTAATCTCTGCGGGGATCCCGCGCGCCTCCTGTCTCTCAAACTGGATCCAGGCTAATCTGTATGGATATTTACATCAAAGCCACTGTGAAGTGAGGAATTATGCTTGTTTCCAGAGTTTTTGATTAAGGTAGGAGTTTAAGCCTCATCGTGTTAGATCTGGTTGCACAGCTCTACGTGAACCTCAAGAATAACTTGTAGTCGCGCAGTGAGCGAGCAGTGAGAATGATTTATATTTGTGGACAAAGAATTTTGTGCGGCTTTTCCATCTCAACACCCGCCCGACTCTGTCTGTGCTGATCAAGTTTATGTCTGTGGTCCCGGTTGGCCAGTGAGTTAGTGGTTAACAAACCAGCGATAACCATCATGCAGGTTCAGCCTGGTGAGGAGCTTTCGCGCTCGCCTCGTAGTCACGCTTCACGCTGAATTTATATTATTTAATTATTACTTTAGTGTTATTTTTCCGGTTACATGATGCATCAAACTATATCAAATGCTTTGTCCACTTAGTCAACCACAGATAAAGTGCGTGGCCGAGCGGAGATCTGAGAAACTCGTCCCATAAACACGATCAACCAAAATAGTTTCTGTGTCCCCTTGTTACAAACTCAACAGATACAAAGTGGAAGAGCTACTAAAGCCATATTAGATTTAAGTCTGCATTGACTTAAATCTCCCGTTTGTTGCGCATCTCTGCGCAGTGCAGTGGGTTTAACTCATCATGCAGAGTCGGTGAAAGACTGTATGAGGCCTGGAATTTGACTTAGGAGCCCCCTTTGTTGCTAAAAACATCAGCACCTCTAACAGCTTCTGTGTTAGATTTAATGAAATCTGGGAGAGGAGTAGTTGGCCAACCTAAAAATCAATTAATTATAATCACAGTTTACTAATTTGTATTTGTGAACAAACAGAGCTCAAACTCAAAGACTAAACTCACAGCATCAGAGTGTAGCAATGGTAACAAAACAATCTAACTATGAATATTGTTCTTTGAACTTTTACAAAGTAAACTTACCAGCTCCTTAAAATCTTACATATAAAGTTTAACTAAAATCTTTTAATTTATGTATGCTGAAACCATTAAATTAAATTTAGCAGCATTGATTATCTCAATAAATAAATGTTACATTATGCATCTACACTTTGTGTTAAAACATTAGCATTTATGGGGCCCCTGAAGTCCTGGGGGGCCTTATGAAGCCACTGGCTTAATTTGGATTAAACAGAAGTGCAAATAATTGATATTCATTTTCATACATTTTTTTGATTTGTTGTTTTTAAGACTAGTTGTGGGTTTAAATAGCGTTTCACTGGCGATGTTTTCTCATAAAATATAATTACCCAGTGATATTTTTACATTTCCTGTCAACTTAACATCTTTTAATACAAAAAACATGGTGGACCGCCTCGGACCCCCGACCACCGGACTTGGCAAGTTTTCTGGGGGAAACCCTGAGCTTCTATAGAAATGTGGAATGCAGACGCTGACATTAATGTTGGGGATGTCTGTGCTGATGCTACATGTTTAGCATTGAGATGCTATTTTACAATTGAATAGCATCATTGATAGGCTAACTCCTTTTAAACTTGTCCAACGTTCAATCAAGAGAAGCAGCTTTGTCGTCAATTGCTGTTGTCTGCAAAGGTTGCTTGTGTGTCAGATTTACAGGTGTACCAGTTCTGACCGGAACCTTTATATGTAAAAAAATGTGATAAATTGTGTTAAATGTCTATGTAATTAATTTATCAAAATTAGTGCTTCCATTCATTGATCTTTTACCAATGAATGGATTTTGCCCCTTAAGCAGAGCTATCAAAGCAGCCTGGTAAATTACTGTATGTCAAAACCCTGGAAACTTGAGGCAGTTTATCTTGCACTTACCATTCAGGCGACTGAGGGTCCAGTTGCGACGTACATCTGAAGGACGACTTGCCAGCTCAAACACAAAGGGTCCAGCATTGGGAGTCAGGTCGGGGTCATTGGCTGTGATGTTTAAGGAGTTTGGATCTGGTTTCTCACACATTTCCACTTCAGGAGGGAACACATTAGGCGCGTTGTCATTTATGTCCAGCAGGTGAATCTGAAGGGTTCCTGTACCAGTGGCAGGAGGAATGCCTGACAATAAGAAAATATTGTGAGCTATAATATGTACCAAACATAGCAAGCAGTTTGCTGGACCCTTTGTGTTTGAGTTGGCAACTTCTCAGTACCCTGGTAGATTAGATTTTCATGGAGGAAAGAGGAAGTACTGGAATTAGAGTTAAATATCAAAAAGAAAACCACTGCTTGGGATACTTTCCTATGCATGACTTTGTTACGGATGATAAAAACACTCCCCTATTAACAGTTCGCTTCAAAACACCATAACAGACTAAATAATTGCAAACTTTTGTCTGCAAATATGTGGTACATTGATCCAGGTTTCATGCTACTGGATGTAATAAACTGGAAAAGTTTCTTATTGAACAAAAAAACATACAACTGATGAACAATAAGTGCAGGAGCTTAAGGTTAGAAACTGTGAATCCACACACTTTCATATCTAGGTATGCAGAGAATGCTGAAAAACTGCATATATTTGGATTTTTCTTTTTGTGCAAGAATGTGAATCAGTTGATGTGCCTCAATGTGGTTTGGGGTCAATGAGCTCCCACCTGTGTATGACAATGGCAGAAGACGTAGTAAGACACAGAGCACAGCAGGCTCTGTGTGTGTTGGGTATAACAGGGTCAAGTTAATCAACTGAGCTAAATGGCATTCTTCTTCATCAATGTTCCGCTGGAACAGAGATGCCTCTCTCCACTTCCTAAAAGCACAGTTGTGGCGAGAACAAGAGACAGACTCCCTTCAGATCTGAGGACTGTCTCTGAGATCCGTTGTAAACCTGTAATAAGCCAAGAATCAGGCCTTGGATAATCAATCTGTTGTTTACTTAAGACATACTGCCACTACAAGATGCCACTACAAGACAACACTCCATATGGGCTTTCATGTCAGAATGATGTGGAGAACATTGATAGCATTATCCACTTTGCTGAATTCAGCAGTAATCTCCAATAAAAGATCAGTCATGTCCAATTTGTAGTTTTTCGAAAGAGGTAGTTTGACAGTTTGTTTTTAACCTTCAGTTGAGAAATCAATGCATAAACATGAGTCCTACTAATATTCAATTTCACACCTCAAGTCTTAAAACCACACTAACTGTACGTCTAACATGCTGAAGATGTACGGGATGTCTAACGGAAACTATTTTTATTTTGATCTGTGAGTTCTGTCTCTTCTCTTAAGATGTCAATTTTCAAACAAGGATGGACGTAGAGATGAAAACAGATATTTACATACACCAGATAAAAAGATACATACAGATTTTTTTTTGGCAATTTGGCTGTATGCTTTGGGTCATTGTCCATTTGGAAGACATGTTTGCACCCAGGCTTTTATTTCCTGACTGATGTCTTTGGATGCCATTTCAACATTTCATTCCACTCAGTTCCATATTAATTTCTCATATTATTGTTGAATTTAGCAAATAGAAATAATGTTGGTAATTCCAATTGACCAAACACCAGATAAGTTTGGTCTGACATAACTTTAGACAATGATAGAAAATGTTTGTCTTTTATTTAGTACATGTAAACTTCTGGTTTTAAGTGAAAGTTAAATCATTGTAATAGTCTCCTTGTTCTTTAGAAATTCTGATATTTTAAATAAGAGAATAAAAATTAAGCATGGAAACATAGATGCTGTGGTCAATTTTCATTTTTTCATTCTCATCCACACCTGCCAACAGGTCATGCTTTTCCACATTAATGCCTGAGGCATTCAGGGTTCATACCCTGAATGCCTCCCATTGAATAAAAAATGAACCAAAACATTGGAGATAAACTTGTTTCTCTTAAAATACAGAGTAGCTAAAGTTTTTGTAATCCAGACAGTTATTTATGTGTCATTTACATGACTGCTACAAACCTGTGAAATGACTTTAGTGATCAGTATTGTTGACTGAAATCTGTTAGGATCTGGGGAAGGCTGGTTGGGGGGTCTCTAGTTTCTCCACCAGGGGGCATCCTGGGACCTTCTGGAGGGCGTGAACCTGGAGCTGCACACCTGCTGCCACTTACCATCGTTTGGATGGGTTTATCAGGACGGAGCCGCCGACACTCCAGTGCCAGAGTGTTAGCCTGTGATGGTAATATCATTGTAGCTCACCTCCGACCATCTGTTCTCCGAGTAACCTCCTTTGTGCTACCTTCTCCTAGGTTGTCGTTCCGTGAAGCCCTGAGTGTCTTCGAACTTCTACGAACCTGGTCAGATTACTTAAGGTCCTCGAGACCCTGCGCAGTCTACCCGTTGGTGGCCACGTCCCTGAGACCAGTTCTCAGTTCTGTCGGTGGCAGATCCCTGGTCAAGCGGATCCCTTCCGGCACCTTGTCTGAGATCTCCCTCCACTCACCTGTCCGCCCTCTAGAGAAACTCACGCCCTTGTTCCAGCCTGCAGTTCCGGATCCTAGCGGTTCACCTCTCCGTGCTCAGACGAGCTCACCGGCAAGTAGGTCTCTGGCTGGACTGCAATCCCACGATCACTGAACCCCTCTTACCTGTCTTATCTCCACCCAGAGATCCAGAACCACGCAGACGAGCACCAGTTCCGTACCACCTTGTACATATCTCTTAGCACTGTATTTAATAAATCACCATAACCATTACCCGTCTCCAGAGTGTGTTCTGCGCATGTGGGTTCGACAAATTAATCTCAACATGACAGAACACTCTGGCCAACAACAAACCCCAGCAGACGCACTCCGAAGAAGCTTAGCGGAACAACATTCCCTAATTCAAAGCCACGATGCTGCCTTACGAGAACTAAATAAACGCCAGATCGAGGTAAATAACCGTCTTGATGAAATCGCAAGCTTTTTACAGTCATCCCGTCAGCAGGCTCCAGAACCTGTACCAGTTCACCCACCCAGTCCCAGTACCGCAGCAGCCGTAGTCCATTCCACGTCTTCAGAGTGTCGGCCACCTAACCCAGAAAGATTCTCAGGTGACGGGAGTAAGTTCAGAGGATTTCTTTTCCAGTGCACAATATTATTTAATCACTCCCCGCACTGTTTCTCCCATGACGGAGCCAAGATCTCATTCATACTTTCCCACTTATCAGGCCAGGCGTTAGACTGGGCAGAGTCGAGGTTTTCTTCATCCACAATTTATGATTGCACCTTTGAGGAATTCTTGACAGAATTTAAACAAGCGTTTAACCAAGACTCAGACAAGACTTTAAGTTCCCGAGATCTGCTAGAAATTAAACAGGGTCATCGAACCGTAGCTGAGTTCGCCATTGACTTCCGCATTAAAGCGGTGGCGTCTGGGTGGAACCCTCCGGCACTTAAAAGTGCTTTTTACAACGCCCTCCAAGATAACATAAAGGACTTACTAGCAACTTTAGATGAGCCCAAGACCCTGGAGGAGTTGATTAGTTTGGCTATCCGTTTGGATAACAGAACCCGCGCTCGGGCTAGAGGTAAAAGAAATCCATCTGTGAGAGTGGCTGTGGAGGGCTTGTCACCTAGCCTTTCTGCTGCAGTCGTTCCGCCGGCGGCAGAAGCAGAGCCCATGCAGATAGGGCACACTCGCCTCTCCCCCGAAGAAAGGCAGAGACGAATGAATGCCAAACTCTGTTTGTATTGCGGCGCAGCGGGCCATTTCATCGCTTCCTGTCCAACAAAGGTAAAAGCCAGGGTCCGCTGGTAGATGCGAGGAGACTGGCGGACCATCAAATTAAAGAAAAATCTCCTCGTTTACTATTACCCGTCACTCTTTCTGTTCACGATCAATCCATAACGCTTTCAGCTCTGGTTGATTCCGGTTGTGAGCGCAATTTAATGGATTCCAGCCTCGCGCAACAATTGTCCATTGAAACTGTGCCTTTAAAGGTCCCCTTGAAGGTTTCAGCTCTGGACGGCAGAGCACTCTACCAGATAACCCACCAAACTGTTCCGCTGAATCTTCTGATCTCTGGTAATCACCATGAAAAGATTTCATTTTTCCCGCAGCCAGTTCCGCTATCAACCTGGGCTTCCACTGGTTAGAATGTCATAATCCCCACATCGACTGGTCTGAACGACACATAATTTCCTGGTCCATTAACTGTCACTCGTCTTGTCTCCGCTCAGCCTTGCCGCCAGGTCCGTCACCGGAGGGCCAGCAGGAGGCAGACCCACCTGATCTCTCAGCTATTCCGGTGGAGTATCACGATTTAGCCGCGGTTTTCAGCAAGGTAAAAGCACTGTCACTCCCTCCGCACCGGCTGTACGATTGTGTGATAGACCTGTTACCCGGAGCTCCCCTGCCTAACAGTCGTTTGTACAATATTTCCCGGACAGAGAGAGAAACCATGGAAAAATACATTAAGGAGTCCCTTGATGCACGAATAATCCGCACCTCGTCTTCCCCGTTAGGGGCGGGGTTTTTCTTTGTTGAAAAGAAAGATGGGTCTCTCAGACCATGCATTGATTACCGAGGTCTCAATCAAATCACAGTTAAAAATAAATATCCATTACCCCTCCTTTCATCTGCGTTTGAGCCTGTTCAAGGAGCCACCATCTTTACTAAGCTGGATTTAAGAAATGCTTATCACCTCCTACGCATACGGGATGGGGATGAGTGGAAAACTGCATTTAAGACCCCATTAGGCCATTTCGAGTATTTGGTCATGCCATTTGGTTTATCAAATGCCCCAGCCTGTTTTCAAGCCCTAATAAACGATGTCCTGAGGGATTTTCTGAACATTTTCGTTTTTGTCTACCTTGACGACATTCTAATTTATTCTAAAAGTCTTCCAGAACACCAGAAACATGTCCGCCTTGTTCTCCAGCGGTTACTGGAGAACCGGCTGTTCGTCAAAGCTGAGAAATGTGAGTTTCATCAACCATCTGTTACATTTCTTGGTTATGTCTTAGAGGGCGGACAGGTCAGACCATCTGAGGACAAGATCAGAGCAGTTCTGGAGTGGCCTGTTCCTGAAACCAGGAAACAGCTCCAAAGGTTCCTCGGGTTTGCAAATTTCTATAGGCGGTTTATCAGAAATTACAGTCAAACCGCCCTGCCACTAACTG